CAGTCGCATTATTTTAAAAAGTTTTTATATCCGGCAAGGGTGGCGTTTCCGGCAAGTCGGGGGTGGCACAGGAACATCAATAAAATGACACACACGGGGGTGGCGCAGAAATAAGGGTGGCCTCACACATATATAGTCATATAGATACACACACACATAGACATGCATTCATTCAAAGTCGGGAAATTTATTTGGCGAGAAGAACGACGACGGCATACGAAATTTCCGGCTGGAAAAGAGAGACAGCGCTGAAGGTTGGACGACGGACGGAGATGGATGTCAGACCGTTTGAGACGGAGGGACGGGCAAAAAAATGTAGCAAGATTTTAATTGAATGCCGATAATTGCGGTGCGGACGGATGATTTCCGTTCGCGGAATTCCAATTTGCGTAGAGAAATTTCAATATAAGTATACTGCAGCATGGAAGGGTCTTGTGGGTCTGGGGGAGGAGTGTGGTGTGGTGCAGTTGGACGGGATGCTGCGACAAGACGAGAGGATGCCGACACTTGAGTGATGGTTGACAGTTGACAGAGGCGCTGCCGTTTAGTGCGACAAGGACCCAACCGGACCCGGTCAGAGCGAACGGCCGAACGACAAGGACGAACGATTATTATACGCGAACATCTTTTGTTCCGGCGAATGTGATTGTTTATATTTTTTACAATCGGCCGCCGACGATAAAATTTAATGCGAAAATCACATTCTAAGCTGCGCAGCTTTTTTACGTGCTGTATGTAAATACCGCGCTCCTCGGCTCCCCGGCTCCGCGGCTCCACGGTATAATTAACAAGCGGGAATTTCTCGAAAGCCAAAGACCTCAACAGATTGTTTACAAAATTCAAACGCATTACAATTATATAAATGAGGCAACAATTGTTAACTATTCACGCATTCTATACATCACTTATAAAACTTAATGTAAAATATAATTTCTTGAAAATATTATAACATGAATTATTTTATATGATTTACCTATACAGAAGTGACAAGTATTACTTGGATTTGTTTATACTCACTTGATGTTTCCAATTGCAAAACAAATCGTTTTGAATACGTCTCTTTATAATTTAAGTTTTATAAACCGTCTTTTACTCATCTTGTAAGGTTATTATCAAACTAAACTATATTGTAGTCTACATATTAATATAATAGCAGAAATTACTGTTATACTTTTAATTGTAAAATTATCTTAATAGAACCTAAGAACTAAGAACAACAAAAAAAAATGTATCATTTTGTTGGTTGGTTATAATTGATTCTATTCACAGAAAGATTTAATTTGATGCGAATTCATGAAGATCAAATGACAGTTTAATCGGCTAACGTTTGGTATCAAATGTGGACATAATACTTTTCATAATTAAGAACGATGGGGGAGTAGTAGTGGCAGTGAACTCATTTCATTTTAGCTGTACTCGAAATCCGAAGCTTTCGAAGCAAATTATTTAGAAAATTGAAATATAATCTTCCCCTCTGCGAGAGTGTACGGGCGAGATAAAAAAATGTGCAATAAAAATAAAAACGGAGTTGGTCCTTACGACCATTAGTACTTGGACTGATAGCGAGGGATAGCCATGTAGTCGTATAACAAAGGGAGGTTTCACCCGTACGAGGGGGGGGGGTCGCACATACCAAAACGGGGAGAGAAAAAATAATATATATATTCCAGTCCACCTCTATATATATTTTCATAGGATGGAGCAGAATGTTGTGCATCGTGTGTAATTCAGGCAGAATGAAATCCTTGCCTGTTATGTACACTTATTTTCTGTCATTCTCCACTGCTTCTACTTTTAATTTAATCGATATATAACAACGTTCAGATGCGCGGCTCCTTGATCGAATGATCTCATCTATACGTTTCATTTGCAATTGATGAAGTTTCATTATTTTCTATATTTGGTTAAGTGTTAATTACTCCGCCTCGAATAAGTCATTTGTTTGTTAATTTTGTTTAGTACTTAAGAGAGTCGAAGGAAAAAAGAAACGACACGTGGATTTAAATTCTATATCCTCATTGTTACGAAAATACACGTTGCATTGCATTGACTGCTGATTCATAAATAAATTAATCGTTAAATAACAAAAACATTATTAAATTCAACCAATACACTCTGTTATATGTTAATTACGTATTATATTTATCTTAAAACAATACTGTAATTAAATTAGCTTATTTTCTATAAAATAGATTAAAATTAATGAATGTATTTAGATCAAAAACGATACATTTTTTTTTATAAAATATTTCGTTAAAGCTCCTAACATAATTCCAGATAATGGAATTCCCAATACATGAAAATTGAAAAACAAACATATACAAAACCTTAGTTGATCTGGTAATGAACATTGTTCATTTATTAAACTAAAACCTTAAAGTCTAAATTGATGACTGGGTTGTATATTCAAACATATACAAAACCTTAGTTGATCTGGTAATGAATATTGTTCATTTATTAAACTAAAACCTTAAAGTCTAAATTGATGACTGGGTTGTATATTCAAACATATACAAAACCTTAGTTGATCTGGTAATGAATATTGTTCATTTATTAAACTAAAACCTTAAAGTCTAAATTGATGACTGGGTTGTATATTCAAACATATACAAAACCTTAGTTGATCTGGTAATGAACATTGTTCATTTATTAAACTAAAACCTTAAAGTCTAAATTGATGACTGGGTTGTATATTCTAGAAACATGTTCATTTTATGATCCTGAAAATAGGAAAGTATCTTTACATGTATCATATAATGTACGTTCAAATGTATTTAAAGTAAATAATTAAGATCGTTAAAGAGGTAACAAGGAAGTGTATACTAACCGATTAGTTTCCAATTTGTTTATCGCTGGTAATTGAGAATTAATTATTGATTAATGAATGCAATTAATCCGGGAGTAGGTTCGTGCCGATGGGGTTGCGTAACTGCAAATGAATGGGCGATGAGAAGGAGAAGAGAGAGACGGAGAGAGAGAAAACATAGCAGCAGATATCAGGACGGGAAAGTGAAAGTGAATCGGTCGGTCGGCAGGGAGAGAAAACGAAAACAAAAACAACAAAAAAAAAAAGGATCGCGTCCATCGGTACCCGAACGTCTTCACATCGTTTTACATTAATTCGCAATAAAAATAACTCGCGTTTCATCGAATGCCAATTATGTATGATAATGCGCGACTATTTATTTATACTAATTAGTTGCGAGAAATAATTTATAATGGAAATAATGGAAACGCCTTAAGAGTCGTCGATCGGCCGTACGTACCGGGGCACGTTTTATTTTCCTGAATTGTTCCACGCGCATCCTTAATTGGGATTATATAATTGCCGTTCGGCCATCATAAATAGTCCAATAGACCGCGCCATATGCCACGCGGCCTTAAGTAAATTAGATAAATAAATTTTAATGGTGGCACGTTAGCGCCACAAGAAACTATTAACCATTTTATTGCGTCCAACTGTGCACCACCCTGATAATACCGAAAACAACGAACGGAAAGAAAAAAAAAAGAAGCCAGAGGGAAATATATAATGGAAAGAACGAATGGTTTGTGTGTATACGAGAGAGAGAGAGTTGGTGGAAATATCAACCCTGGATTATATAGATATCACCATATGCTGGACGAGGTTTTTCACGACGCACTAATTTATCGGCAACGTTATTTCCTATCATTTATGCTTTTAAATAATTTATTGGTATTGGGTATATGGGGAAATTGCATGTGGACATACGCCCCCGCAGTGACCGCACTTTGCGTGTTCGTTTTTAATTGAAAAAAAAGGTAGTTCAATAAGTCGTTTTATTTATTCCACGGCGAGTGGAAATTAATAAAATCAACCCCCGAGCGCCACGTGTGCGGGGGCGCAGGTAACAAGGAAGACAAGGGGGGTCTCTTTAAATATCACTGTTCGCTGATCATTGGTCATTCATTGGTCCTGTCACTGTACAGAGCGCGATAGTGACCCAGATCACAATCTTCCTCAGGGCATCCAAACCGAATGGAGTCATTTTTCAGAAGTCGACCTGCTGATAACATCTGGGCAGATGCGTTTTTGCTAATTCCGTACCACCCCCGGAATTCTCAGCGCCATTGTCAGTCCTCTTACATTAGGAGCCTTTTAAATAGATCGAATAAAGGATGGTCGTCCGAGACGCATTTAAACAAAGCGTTACTTTCCTCCAGACAATACCCTACTGAAATTTCCCAACCGGCTTTTAGTCTCGGAAAATCTGTAATACCGCTACCCTTTAAATTGTGTATATGTTAATAATAAAAGCAATATTTAATGCATAAATTGATAATCTATTTTTTAGCCTTAACTGAGAAAATATTGGTTCAGTGTCTTATTCTTGCTAAAAATCTATAAGTATGAAATCTTGAATAAAAATATAAATGTTAAAGATGTTCATTAGATTATAAATATTATAGAAAAATCTCATAAACCTTATTAATTTGAAATTGATTATTGATTGTTATAACTGCTTCTACTTCCGTTAAATCAGTTCTATTTGTTCTGATTTTTTGAGATCATCTTTATAATGGAAGCGATTAACTGATAAGATATGATCAGGATGTAACTGTTATGGTATTTCAAGATAAACACTGTTCACTATAAAACAAAATTGACATTGAGACCACCAGGACTTGGACAGATGTTCAATCTATTCATTATAGAAGACTCGCTTTTAACCAACAGCAGGCTTATGTCGAAACACAAATTTTGTTATCTTTCAAAAGCTGCTGTTGTGATTTGAGAATTACACATTCAAATTTTAAACATTATTTTCTTAAAACAAATTTCTGTATGTATTTCCAGAAAACATCTGTATTTTTTATTATAATAATAAGTAATTATTGAAATCCTATTAATTATTTTTTTTTTAATTTAATACAACAATACTGTTTGAAACCGGATTAATAAGGGAAATTTAAATTAAAAACGATCGTTTTTGGATAAAAATTATATTTATAATTTTCTTTTCAGTTTCTTCCAAATATCGCAATTGATATAGAGATGATCGAATGGAGAAGTTTAAACATATCTAAAGAAGTTTTGAAAAGAGAAACTGAAGAAATTTTGAGGTAAGAAAATTTATTAGGAAATGTATTAATTATTAAGGTATAATAAATAATTTATAATTTAATCAATTTCGAGAGCAATAAAAGGAAGTTTGTAAATTAATAGTAATTGAAATTTAGTATTACTCATAAACCTACCGGCGGTTTTATTGCAAATAACATTTATATTATTACAAAATAATTTTCTCTAAGCTTAGAAACTATTAAACCTGTAATTAATTCCAAATCAATTATATTATTGTTAATACTGTATATTAAACATTAAATACAGAGTGTTAAGTTTAAAGGTAATATTATATAAATAATAGTTGCTAGAGGCGCTAAATAGTGAAAATTATAATGATGGGTTTCCCAAATCTCATGGGAAAAACAGACCCCATCGTGTTTTTTTTTGGCTTAATGTGGATTTTGGTGGTAAAGTATTTTTTATCACCAATTTCAATCAGATTTTAGCGATGTTTGTCCTAAGGCCATCCATTTTGTTTGACAGGGGGGTATCTCCTGCGTTAGTGGAAGACACCGAAACACTACAGAATATGAATAATGTACTTATAGTGAGTGAGTCACTGTTTTGGGATCACATCAAGTTATTATTGTAAATTACCAAAAAAAAACATAATCTCGCATAGTCCGGTTTTTAAATTGAAAAAACAATATTTTTTAGTTACTTGATTAGTCCGGTTTCAAACATGAATAATTAATATTTGCAAGGTGATTAAGTGCTATAAAATAAACATAATATGAGAATAGATGTAACAAATTGTTTCCTTTCGGGTATGAGGTTACTAAACGATGTCATTGCTGGGATATTTGCAACATTTCACCTATACTTACGTGATCATCAATCATTTGCATGAACTGCAAATCGATGTATGATTAATTGTGCTTCGATGTAACAATCTTATTATGATTTGTTGATTGCTTTCTAAAAGCAGGAAAAGGAAGTAAGGGTCTGTTTTGAATAGAACCGTTTGTTAGTATGCGGATGATCTTCAAATGGTAATTAAGTGACGCAATTTATTTTATGTTTTAAAATGGTACACGTTTACGTAACACTTTGTATAATGGTTGGCAATAAAAATACTTGTGTACGTGCGTGTATATTAGTTAATTTTAAATCAATATTCATTGGAGTTTGCCGTAACACAGTTACATACAATTAGAGTTGTAACAGACTATTTATGTCACCGTTGCACTAATGACGCATTTATCATAATCAGTTTGTTGGTACTGCGTAATAGATAATTTATGGTTATGGCACAAATAAATGGGTTTCGCAGAAATCCATCATGGATTATCTGCGCTCGTAGTCATCTAAGACAATATTCAATATTTTCGTAATTAATTTAAAAAATATCTTGGCTTTCCATCCGGGGAATCGATATTCCGGCGACGCGGCTTGTCTGAAAAAGTGGTATTAATGATGGTAGTAGATAGAGAGAGTTTGGTGACGATGACTCGGCCAAAGATGAAATGATGATTTATATGCTGTCTAGTCTGACTCTGACTGATACACTATGCTAACGCGTCGGGTAAGCAAGGCGTCTCTGAATAAAAAGTACATTTTCCATCATAAATCATGCGATAATTCAGTAGAAAACCAAATCGTATCAGTGGGGCGATGCCTTTTAACTTTTTAATTCGCAACATTCCGAAGGGGGAGTGACGTGGCAGCCATCGCATTTTGACACGTCAAAGGTCGATCCATGCGAGAGCGGAAAATAGAAATTTATTAAAACAACGGTGTATTATGGTATAGGAATTGAGAGATCAAGTGAGAGAGAAAGGAGGCCCCAAGCTGAAAATAAATTATGGTTTATAATTCGAGCAGCATGCGGCCGTAGCACATATATTTCAAATTTATAACGCGTTGCGATACAAATAGAGAAGGCTGTCTCTTTATTACCATTCCTCTTCCCTATTTTTATTTCGTTCTCTGCTTCGGAGGACGCTCCTCTTCCTTTTTTTTTATGATTGCGTGCTTTGTTTTTCTCTCCTTTCTTTTTTATATATATATTATATATATCGTCCTTCCTTTCGTCCTGCTTTCCAGTTCGTTGTGGCGGTGTCGTCCGGTTCTCCCCAATTTAAAATATCGAAGATAATATAGAAACCTAGTATATATGATGTAATAAAAAGCTTCCTGTGTGTTTCCAGCCGCGTCTCTCTTTCTGTCGCACTTCACTTTATCTTGGAAAATTGATAAATGTTTGGCGGGACATCACCGCAACTACAATTTTCTCCTGCTTCCAGGGGGTGTGACACTTCTCGTGAACCCCCGTCAGCACTTCCTGCAGGAACAATATGTTCTCGTTACCAAATCTTACATCTCTTTATTATTCTTACATCACACACACACACACAAAAAAAGTAAAGTGCCGCCATTATTTATACATATAGAACATTACGCATTTTGTGGGTGTAATTGTGAGTGATATTTGTGCAGTATTACTTGTAGTTATGAATCACTATAGTAATATTATTCTATATGTTAAATTGCCCTAGGATCACTTCCTTTAGTTTATGTTTAGATAGATCGAAATATACAAACAAGAAAAAAGTTGGACCCCAAAAAATAACATTCACAAGTCGGAATAAAATTAGGGTCCAAAAAAGTATAAGAAAGAAGTATAACAAGATAGAATTACATAATTTGTTTTATTATGATAAAAATAATTTATCTGTTCTGTTCTGATTCCTCCACTCTATAATAGAGTGGAGGTGTGCACTTAGCTCACACCTTACAGTGTATGTAGCCAGTCAATGTCTAGTACAAACAAACTAAAAGAGTATATAAACAAGCAAAAAAATAAAAAATGGAATAGACTATTAAGATGTCTAAAGACAATTACACAGAATCAATATACAATAAATTTATAAATACTAAAAATAACAAAAAATAATTCAACATTTATACAAACTTTTCACGAGCAGGGACCTATCAGCTCTTATCACAGTGTGTGAAGGTAATTTATCTTATATTTCAACAATTCAAATAAAGTGTTTGCAAATTTTCAATAAATTATGTAAAATTTTAGAACTTTATAATTATTTAATATAAAATTGATCTATTTGTAAACATAATGAAATATATTACTTCTCTATATATTTAAAATGAAAGTCATATAAAATGTAATGTCGATATATATCAGGAGGGTCGGAAAATTGGATTTAAAATTTTTTATAAGAAAATCGGTTTTTGTTTCGGAATTGATAGCTGTTGTAATAAAACGTTCAATTTTTTTTTTCGGCTGGTAAGTGTGAGTGTGTGTGTGTTGTGTATGTGTGTGGAAAGGCTCGAGGCGATGCGATTACAGGGGCGAAAGGACTTCTAGGGAACACATAGAAAAATTGGATATTCGGGTTTTCGTTTGATCTTCTTGCGTTATATACGAATTTCCAACGAGCGCGCGATCGCCCTTGGTTATAAATATTGGACTCCAATAAAAGTTGTTACTTAGGATTCGCGTCAGACGACATCAAAGGAACTTTCTGCCCTGCGTGAGGGGGTGACAACAAATAACTTACATATACGAGGGTCGCATTTAATACCCACACTCGCACTTTCTCATACACACACACATACTAATATTCTTCGATCTTAACAACAATCAACTACGTCACATCACACTAAGCTAATTCACGTGTTCAATTTTAATACATTATATATTGGTAAAATTAGTATTTTTAATTTAATTTATAAGTTTTATGTATTATTATATTATATAATATATGTACAAGCGAACAATCAAAACTAATCAAACACGTCAATTAATTATTTTTTTTAGCGATTTTTACTTAATATGAGGTATAACAAGTAATACTTTTATTTGTTGTTAATAATAATGCAATAATTAGAATATTTTTTGATTAATTAAAATTGATATACACGTATATTATAATATATATCTTTATGAATAATGAAATTAACTTTCTGTGTTATAAATGAGTAAATGATATTTTAATTAAACTTGAGATAGTTTTAATTTACTGCATGTGTTTGTATAGTTTAGGTGGAGGTAGATAGGAAGTGGTGGTGAATAAAAAAAGAGGAGAAAGTATAAAAGAGAAACATTGAGCTTGGAGATAAATTGGTAAACGATTTTCATGATTGGGGATCGTTGGGGGAAAAAGCAATGGCAGAAGAAGCGAAGGAATAATTCGTGCAACGTCTGGTTCTACATACTCAGTTCGAATAGTAGCTGCATGCAGCAGGACCACCAGACTTGGGGGGGTGAATCTTTCAATATCGATCAGCCAGCAGCCCAATCAAACCGTGTGCGTGACAACTCTCACTCCGCTTTTCCTTTTTCTTCCCTTCCCTCGTCCTTTTTCCTGTGTGTATCTGCCTGCGAGGAGCAACCCCTCCTAGCAATCCGCCCCCGCGCGCCGCGACGCACAGATGCACCCCATATGGCCAACCCCTGCACTTATACATGCAACACTAGACCTCCAGAACTACCACCGCCCTCGGAGAAACCCAACTTGTTCCCTGTCCACTTTTAATTCGGTTTTGTTAATTTTCCACCAGCGAGTTGACGCTAATAATAAAGGCAACCGGAGGGTAATAAGACTCGTTAGTCAATTGTCCCGGCGACACAACGGAGGCAAAACACTGGCGGAATACAAATCGCAATTGATTAGCGGATGCCAACCACCCCACGAGTCGCTTCTTTCTTCATCCCCTTTGGACACACACAAACACACGCCGGACGAAATAATCGAATTATCTCTGCAAAAGGGAAGAACTGCGTTCTCCTTTTTTAGCAAAAATAAAATTTAATTACTTATCTCGCCTTGTAAACAGTATTTCCAAGGAGATAAGGGCGAACAGCAGGAATCCCGGGCATTTTCATTACATACAAAACTCTGATTCTTCAAGTCTAGTGGCCTGAAATTTCATTGTCTCCCTCGTTCCAACAACTATGTGTACCAACCACCTCAATTGTTTTCCTCCGGCTCTGATTAAATTGCACCAAAGGATCCATACCATTTCCCCGCTA